TAAAGCTTTAATATTTAGAATATTTGAAGAACTCCTACAATTCAGCAATAAAAAGGCAAACTACCCAATTAAAAAATGGGCAAAGGACTTGAATAGACATTTCTCCAAAGAAGATACACAAATGGCCCATAAGCAAACAGGAAGATTGTTAGCATCATTAGTTATTGGGGAAATCCAAATCCAAACCACAAGGAAATACCTCTTCACACACATTAAGGTGACTATTGTTGTTTTTTTTAAAAAAGGAAAATAATAAGTGTTGGTGAGGATGTGGAGACATTGGAACCTTTATAGATTGCTGCTGGGAATATAAAGTTATTCAGCTACTGTGGAAAAGAGTTTGGTGGTATCTCAAAAACTTAAACATAGAATCACCATAGGACCCTCCTTTAATTCCACTCCTATGTAAACACCAAAAGGGGACTCATACATACGTACAGGTACTTGTACTTCACTGTTCAGGGGTATTACTCACACTGTCAGAAAAGTAGAACAACCTAAGTATCCCTCAACAGATAAATGGATAAACAAAATGTAGTATATACATATAATGGAATATTTTTCTGTCATAAAAAGGAATGAAGTCCTTATGCATGCTGTAATATGGATGAACCTTGAAAACATTATGTCAAGTGAAATAAGCCGGACATAGACAGATACATGACTCCACTTACGGAGCTGTCTAAAAGAATCACATTTAAAGTAGCTTAGAGGTTATCGGGGGTGTAAAGAGTGAGAAGTTCATGCTTAGTGGGTACAGAGATTCCATTTAGGTGATGAAAAATATAGGAAATAGTGATGATGGTTGCACAACATTGTGCATACAGTTAATGCCACTGAATTTTACATTTAAAATGGTTAAATGGGACACACTCATAAAAAGTCAGTACTACTGAGGTTGAGAAACCTTGATTTAGAATATGTTCACCTTGATTCTTACAGTTTACCCTTTCATAAATTTGATCCAATTTGTGTTCACATCTATATGTTTTATTCAGGGGAATGTCTTGCTTGATTAAAAATTGATATGTTATTTAAAATTTTTATCTAACTTGTATTTTACAAAGTAAAATGCATTTATAGACTTCACTATCATTATAAATACAATGAGTCAGTAAAATCATTATAATATGTACTACTTCTAATAAAGAGCAGAATCAGCCTCAGTTTCTGCTTGTTGGTATAGGTCTTGGGAGCATGTTAAAATGACTTGTTGATATTATTGATCACTAAATTACCTTTTTTCAGTTTGCATCTTTTTGATCCTCTACCAAGTTAGCTGTATCACTAGTGCAAGGCTTTACAATTTTTCTTCTCATTCATGAATTTCAATAATGTTAAGCATCCGAGCTAGAAGGTCAGATCAGAGTAAGCTTAAAAGCTCTTCATGGAGCTTTACATTTTAGAGAGGGAAATAATTGTCATGGAAATATGTATATATAAGTATCATGGGAAAACTGTATATGTAAATATTTAAAACTAATGAGTGCTGTGAAGGAGAATCTACTGTATAATAAAAAAAAGTTTCCCTACTCCGTGATTTAGGTAAGATTTCCAAGAAGCAGTGTTTCAGTTGATATCGAAAGATAATAAAGAGTAAAGTAGAGGGAGAATGGCAGAAGGGCAGGGGATAAAAGACCCTGTGTGATGATTTTAATATAGAGAACATCACCTTTTAAGGTTATCTATTTGTTAAGTTTATGGGGCTTTGTGGGGGGTTATTGTGGTAAATATACATGACATAAAATTTACCACTTTATCCATTTTTAAGTGCACAATTCACTGGCATTATGTACACTCACAGTGTTGTGTAATCCTCACCAACATCTACTTTTAGAACTCTTGTCATCCCAGATAGAAACTGTACACATTAAACAATAACTCGCGATTCCTTCCTCTCCTCAGTCTCTGGGAACCTCTGCTCTCCTTTCTGCCTCCCTGAATTTGCCTGTTCTAGATACCCTATAGGAATGGAATCGAATGTCTGTCGTTCTTTGTCTTGCTTATTTCACTTAGCATAATGTCTTGAAGTTTCACTCATGTTGTACCATATATCAGGACTTCTTTCTTTCCTAAGGCCATTTTCAAACTGACCTCAAGGGAAACTGGAAGCAAATTTTCTCTTTTTTATTTGTTAAACAATCTGATAATTTTACTAGAATTGGTATAATTGTTTTTTAAACATAGCTTTAACAGCACTGAATTTCTCAGTAGTTTCAAGCTTTACCCTCCAAGCTTCTGCTTTTAACTCTAATTCATGTTTGTAGTTGGAATGTTTAATAGAAATATGATTTTGTTTTAAATATTATTTTAAATATTATTAATACACTGATAATGCAAAACTACTATAATTTCTGGGTAGTCAGCATATATAAAAATTCCTGCACTCTAGATTTTTACCATTAAATTTAGGTTCCTAACATGGAAAAGCAAGATGCTGCTGATTTTCTTGTGAATCCACTTCATAAAACTTTTTAAAAGCACAGTCCTTGAATAAAACCGATACTCCAGGAAAATATTGTGTTCTTTCTTGGTTTTGCCTATTTGTATATATTAAAACTTTCTCCTATTCAAGAAGCAGGACTTCAGGGTAATATATTGATATGTACTAGATGGATTTTAGAGGACCTATCTGAATTACTTGATATCACTTGTCTTTCTTTTGCAATAAGAGAGCCTGTCATTTCTTCCCCTTAATTAAACCCAGGCTGATAGTTTTTAGTGTTCCACAGTTGTGGTTTTTCATTTTGATTTTGCAAGAATTTTAAAATTGTTTTGTAAGAATCATGAAATTATGGGACTTCAGTATCTAAATTGAGATAACTGACTAAATAAACTTTTGTGTCTAGAATATAATGTGTCTTGGAGGACCTGTCTGTGTAACTGTATTTCCTTTTTATTTATTTGCATAAAAAACAGAATACTGACTCAGTCCCCATTCTTACTTCTTCTTCAGTAAGATGGGAAAATGTGAGCAAAATTAAAATATAACAAAGTATATGGTCAACTTAGTGTAAGCCAGTACGTAGATCTTGATTTCATCTCAATCCATTAAGGAAACTTGTCATGAGTTTGAATCGTATGATTACTTTCAGAGCTGTTGAACATTTGACTTAACAGGTTTTGAGAGAATTTCATCTTTTGAGTAAAATGTCGTAATTAACTTTTCTTCCTACTTTTTTTGTTGTGGAAATTTTTTTAAACAGTACAGAGAATTATATAATTATAAATCAATTATATTATTAGCCAGCTTCAGCTAATATCAACTCCTTGTTAATACTGTTTTATCTGAATTCACTTTGCTCTCAGTTATCTTGAGGCAGATCTCAGATAGCACACCACATTTCATCTGTAAATATATTTGTAAGAATGTTATCACACCTAAGAGAAATTAGGAATAGTCTCTTCAATTACCCAGTTAATATTTAAATTTTTCTGATTGTATTAATTTCTTCATTTTTCTTTTCAAATTTATATGTTGTTGAAACTGGATTGTTTGTCAAGTATACTTTCCCAGTTTGTATTTGCTGATTGTATTCCAGTTGGTGTAGTTTAAATATTTTTCTCTATTTTTCTCTGTTTCCTGTGAGTTGACAATTAGATTGAGAAGCTTGAAAAAACTTTTTTTTGACAAAAAAATACACTTCATAGTCTTTCTTTTAATCACGAGGTGCAATAAATGTCTGGTTAGCACCATTATTATATGTCCATTATTTTATTAGGGGTTATAAAGTGGGGATATTCCAGTTGCATCTCTTTTTTTCTTTATTTACTGACTGGGATATTTTTATAAAGGGAATAAGCTCCTTATCACCAATTTGTTTACCTGAGATATCTTCCATATAGGTAAGACAGGATAAATAATTGCTTCTTTCTCTTTAATTATCAGTTGTTAAATAATGTGATTCTCTAATATCCTCTGAAGTTGACTGACATTGAGTTTTCTTGTTTAGCAAAATGTGATTTCTTTTTCTATTCCTGTATCTTTCAATGTGTATGTCTCTTCCCTCCCTTCTCTCTCTCTATTCTTTAACTAATATAGCTTTATTCTTTTGACACTTAGGTATGTTCTTTTTCAGAACTCTTGTTTCACATGTGGATAATGCAGTTTTACTTGGGGATCACTGATTCACACCCTGGAATAAAACTGTGATCATAAAATATTTTAATTTCATAATATGCCTTGTAGATTCTTTTCAAGGGATTTTCAGGCAAAGTCGTAGGACAGCAAACAGAAAGGCCTAAAGTTGCTTCTGAGAACTAGCAAAGCTTTTTCATTCACTATGACTCAGTGCAGTGAAGGATGGCTCAAAGTTGAGAATTTTCCTAGGGACCATATGCCTCTAGCATTATTACCTACCCTGTATTTAAGCCATTTAAGTCTAAACCATGTTCCTGACTCTTTTACCTTTGTTTTCATCCTTATGTTGAAAGTTGATTGAAAGAAAATTCTCTTCAAAAACAAGAATCCACAAAGTGACTGAAACATGACTCATTCATGAGGAAATAAACATTTTTCCTGTGGTAAAAATTTATCCATCCTAATGTTGAGTTTTCAAGGGGCTTCCTGACCACAGTTGGTTAAAAGTTTTAACTCTGCACAAAAAAAGTTTAATTGAGATGAAAGCAACGTCCTAAATACCCAAAGATTTCCTAATATTGATCTTATAGCTGTAATTACTGAATGCTCATTACCAAATTGAATATTTAAAAAGGGGGAAAAACTGACAAAAACAACAGAGTGTAAGTAGAGATGCTCGATAACTAACATTTAGTGTTTGCCCTGCATCAGGGATTATCCAAGATGTGGATTATCTTGCCTGGCATTGCATTAGGACCAGGATTCCAACACATCCTCCTGATTGTGTAGTATGTGCTTTCCTCCCTGATACGTGTGTCTTAACATGCTTTTGGTAAAACAGAAAAATATAGATTTGATCTGTTTAGTGTTACTGTGTTGAGAACTGAATCTCATTTGAGTATTTTGGTTTTTAACATAGGGTATCGGTACAGCAATTGGAGAGCTGCCTCCGTATTTCATGGCCAGAGCAGCTCGCCTCTCAGGTGCTGAACCAGATGATGAAGATTATCAGGAATTTGAAGAGATGCTGGAACATGCAGAGACTGCACAAGTAAGAACAGTAGGGGGAAAATATAGAATAATTATCTCTAAAGAGGTTATGGTTAAGGTGAACATATTTATAGTTACTCTGAAGAAGAAAACTGCCAATATAAAGATGAAATAATACATCGTTTGGGAAAGAATAGTCAGAAAATCTGAAATATAAAAGGGATTATAATCTTGATCTTAGAATAGAGAATACAAAGGAGTCAACAGGACAACTCAGACTCAGCTGATAAACCTTGCCAGAATCCAGGGTAAGTTCATGTTGCCAGTGAGGCTAAGGAGCCAACACATTCTTTGTCCAAAATGTGTTTATAAATGCTACCAACCAGATCACTGATAAATAAGGGAGACAAATAGGTGGACTGGGCTGTGAGTCCAAAATAGTAGAACTTCTGAGTTAATTTTTTGAAAATAACATCAAAATAGTTTATTGTGTTTAGAGGAAATTAGTTTGGAGACTCTTAATTAAGACAGGACAATTAGGACAAACTTACCCTTTATTTGAGGGGGAAGAAATGGCTGTGGCCTTTTATACCTAAACACAAACTATACCAACCTGTATCTTAAAGTTACAAAACAGGTGTTTTATTCTTTCAGGAAAATTCCTAAGAACATTATTAACTGAGTGAGTCTCCATCTTAGGGATGACAGTAGAAATCAAATAGACATAAATAAAAAGGACATAAAAGGGAAATTTTTGAAAGATTATACATAAAGTACATATCCATCCCCAAACTTGCTCTTTGACCAGTTTGAAAAATGGTCTTATTGTTGTGTATTTATAAGTGTGTGTGCCCATATAAATACACACACATTTTTTTGAGGAACAAGTATAGTTTTCTTCTCAGTGGAATATGAGACCCAAAAACCATTACCCTGAAGGGGGAAAAAAACATACATTTTAATGACAAATGGGCTTTTAAAAAAAACATTAAGTGAATCAACTAAGGATAGTTATAGTTTTTAATTGGAAACAAAACTTTCAAATATGAGCATAGAGTAGCCAAATATAAAAGAAATGAATCAAAGAGCTGTGAATATCTTCTCTGCATGGAAATAGGCAAGTTGGCCTTGTCTGCTTTGACATATTCCTCAACCAAATACTGTCTCTCTTCCTCACTTCATAAGGCTTATATTAATGCTAATGTTTATGACTAATATAAACAACTTTCAAATTATTTTTAATGCTTTTTAAAACCCAGTATCTAATTTGGCCCTTGGTTTAACTCTGAAGTAGTATGAAAAGATGCCATTCCTCTAATTTTAAGGAAAGCTTCAAATCTAGAAGTCGTTACCTCCCTAATTTTGCATGCTTAAAAGTAGAGCTAGAACCAGAATTCAGAATGCCAGCATTACTGGTATATCCCAATTACTGAAACCATGTCCATCCATAGATGTAGATGGCTGAATATCCACATTTGTGACAACTGATACATCTGTCATTTGTGGCACTATTTAACACATGTTGCTTAACATGTCAAAACCTTTTTTTATCTATATAAAATCAGCAAGTTGAAGTAGAGTAAGTCTAAGATGCCTAGCAGCTTTACATTTTTGGGCAATGTGTTGGATGCAAACAGGTATAAATATTGTTCTCTGTTAATTTTGCTGTGATTTTTTTCCTTTTCTAAAGCTTTTGTTTTGGAATTAACATTTTTTTCATTTGCATAGTTTCTTCAATCTCTATTCTCCTTTCTACCAGTTCTGTAAAACACCTCTCAATATCACTTTGCAGTTTGTAACACCTGTACATTAGTAACAATTTTTTTTTTCTTGGAGGCATCACTCTGGAGCTCCCCATGCTACAGTTCGAATTTGGACTTGGCATTCTCTTGGCCCTCTGTACAGTGGCTTCTCTCTTGGTTTGGATTCCTTGTGTTCCTCTTCTTGATTTACCCCCTCATTTTGGTTGATCACCTTCTGCAGTAGCTTACTGAGAAAGGACGAGTAGATGGAAAATTCTGAAAATGCTGTGTTTTTCATCACACCTGATTGATTAACTGAATATATAGGACTCTAAGTTGAAAATCATTTTTTTTTTAATTTAGAATTTGGAAGGTATTGCTCAATCATATTCAGGCTTCTGTTGTTGATATTGATAAGGCTAATCTCTTGCTGAGCCTTCTTTATATGTAGTCTCTTTTTTGTTGTTTTATTTTTTTTCTAGATACTTTCAGATTCATTATCTGAGGTATGGGTCTTTTTAAAATATATTGTGCTAGGCACTCAGGGAACTTGTCAATCTAGAATCCATTAGTTTTAGGAAATGTTCTTATTTTTTTTCTGTGTCAATTTACCCTCTTTAGTCTCTATTCTTGCTTTCAAGAATTCTCATTATTTTGATCTTGGGCCTCACAAACACCCATCATGTTAATTTTTTTATCATTTTGTTCCTAATATTTATTTAATTTTACTTTATATGTGATTTCCTCAACTTTATCTTCTAACACTAATATTGAAATGTTTTCCTCCTGTCATGTATTTATTTTTTAAAAGTAGTTTGCATTGTATTGCCAAGAAATGGTTTATCTTATCTTTTTTAAGGTATTTAGTTTCTTCAAGTTTTCTCTTACTCCAGGAATTATCTTTTTTTCCTGAAAGCCTTGTGAGACTTATTTTCTGTTTATATATAAAAATAAGGCACAGAAAAGCTAGATGGAAGTTATATGTATGTAAGCAAGGTGGAGGAGTGACAGGCCGCCTTATTTATGGAAACCTCCATATATCAGTTGTAGGTTTTTCCTTTGGGATAGTTCCCTTTCTCTAGTAATGTATCCTTCAGATTCTTGCCTGGGGGGATATAAACCTTGTTGCTGAATTCTAAAGCTAGGCTGTGGGAAGAGGGTAAGAGATCTCCATTTTCTATGTGGGCTTTCACCTAATCCTCTTTGCATTCATTCTGTGAATACCTACAGAAGCATATCCTGAGCCCAGAACCTTTTGTTCACTGACACTTTCTGTCTTCTGTGGGGCTAAGGGAGGCAGTTGTCTGTTGTGTTAAGAAAGGGTGGACCTGGGAGTCTACTTGTACAGTTGTACAGTCTCCTTGTTTTCAGCCTTACTCCACCCAGCCTCTTTTGCAGTTCTGCTGAAGGTTCTTGGAGTTTAATGCAAATCACTTTGTGTCTTTTTCATGTCCTCACTGCCATATCCTCCATATACTCCACTCTCAGGTATAATCTTTTCTTCCGACTGCCAGTTTCATCATTTATTAATGCTAGTTTCATCAAAGCCAGAGTTCTTGCTTCTATTTTCTATATTTTGGGATTATTATTAAGATGGGTGTTCCAGTTATTTATTGCTGAGTAACAAACCACTCTAATATTTAGTGGTTTAAAACAAGAACAGTCATTTATATTGTTTAAGTAAATGCAATTTGGGCAAAATGGCATGACTATAAATTAGAAGATTTACTTCCAAGATGGTTCACTTATATGACTGACAAGTTGGTTGTGACTGTTGACTTGGAGTTCAGCTAGACTTGGTTTGGGACCTCAGGTCATTCTTCATGGGGCTCCTTGGGCTTCCTCATATCATGGCACCTGAATTCCAGGAGCAAGTGTTCTGAAAGAACGTAGGTGGAAACTACAAGTTTTCTTGTGACATAACCTTAGAAATGCGAGTCACTTTGCCATGCTTTGGTAGCCAAGGTCACTAAAGCCAGCCCAGATTCAGAGAGAGAAATTAGACTCTACTTCTCAGTGAGAGAAGTAAGAAAGAATTTGCAACTATTTTAATCTACAGAAGCCGAGGTCTTATTTGGTCATCTTGAAGTGGAAAACTTTTTGTAATGTCATTTTTAATAGGATAGGACATTGAAATCATATAATGCAAGAAATTGTTGAAAAGAATTTAAACAATTTCCTTGAAAGGGGGAAATGATGAACTTGTCAAATACGCAAAAATTGTCTCTTCTGTGGCAAGAGGGTATACTCATGTTGAGAAACTACAGAGGTAAATTTTATCTTAGAACTAGTAGGTAAAAGTTTCTGAAACCCACAATGGCTCAATATTTAAAAAAAACTTTTTATCAATTTTGTGTTCAAATGGAATTGCTATTTCAAAAAGAATGAGTGCCTCTTCTTTCTCAATATGAAGTCTTTCATGGATCCATGCATAGCACTTCCTGCATGGGTAGAATATTAGCTGGATGACTCATTTCATTCTTTGCAATTTTTTTATTCTGGGATTATAAATAATACATTCTATAAACTTCTTACCATCTAAAACCTCAACTCCCAAAACCTCATATCTTCTAGAATTTGACGAAGCAAATTATGCTTCATCTTATACATATAGTTTGAACTCTTGAAGACTCTTAGTCTTTATCTACCATTAGGATAATTAATAATTTTTTTAGTATTATTTAATTACTTTTTGATTAGATTTTTCTGTAATTCTACTGTTTTGAGTCATGGAAACCAGACTGCACACACAATACTTCTGATGGTTATGAAGTGTGATTATTTTCAGCCTATAAAGCCAATAATTAAAATCACTATTTTAAGACAAACTGTATATTTCTTATTCCCTCATTTCACATTTGCTTACATTGAAAAATCCAGTAAGCAATTATATATAGTGTTAACCGATATGCAATCAAACTAGAAAATGACTCAGTGAAGTAAATGTAAAAGCATAACTCATCATTAACAACTTCATGACCTACCCTACTAACTTCTAAGGTCAGTGAAAATCTACATACAGGGAACTTCAATGAAGTGCCTCAGTACAACCAAGGAGTAGAAGATAATTTCTTGATTTCAATAGGAAACACACTCAGGAACACACCACCAGTGAATATCAGAGCCAATATACCCAATCCAGTTTTCTCACTCTGAGATTAGTGTTCTGCTTACTATTCCACAAGAAAGCAGCATTTTCATCTAGGTTAATGCAATAAAAAATGAAGGACTGATTTAAATTTCTTTGCTTTCTTCTATACTTGATTTGGCTTTTATTTTCTTTCTTTATTGCCTTTCATGTTTTTATTACCCCCACAAT